CCCATTCTGTTATTTCCTTGACAGTGGCATTCCTGTTTGAGATGCAGTGACGCTTAAGGGCCTGGAGATCACGAGCATCCAGTAGAGTTTTATGGCCTTGACCCTTACGCACAGCGACTGTTCCAGATTCTCTGAATCGTTTGATGATGTTATGCACGGTTGATGATGACTTATGTGATAACTTAAAAGTCTTTGCTATTTTACACTGGGTAACACCATTCTGGTAATGTTGCACTATCTTTCTGCGCAACAATGGTGGAATTGATGATCCTCTTACCATCTTGGCTTCTGAGAGACACTGACGCTCTGAGAAGCTCTTTTTATACCCAATCATGTTGTCAATTGACCTAATTAGTGTTAACTGGTCTTCCAGCTGTTCGTTATATGTTCAATTTCCTTTTTCCAGCCACCTATTGCTACTTGTCCCAACTTTTTTGGGATTTGTTGACACTGTGAAATTTTGAATCAACATATTTTTCCTTTAAAATGTTACATTTAATCAGATTAAACTTTTGATCTGTCATCTATATTATATTACAAATAAATATTGACATTTGCCATCTCCACATCACTGCATTCAGTTTTTATTCACAATTTGTTTAGTGTCCCAACTTTTTTGGAATCCGGTTTGTACATTGTAACAAATATAGTCTTATGGTAGCTTTGGAGGAGAGGCTGTCTGAACTGGAAGCTCGGCTCCATGCTGTAGAAAAAACAGTAGCTAGCCAGTTCTCCTCGGACAGCGCAGAATCACAGAGGCTAGCTCCCGTTAGCGGTCCTCCAGCAGACCCCGAGCAGCTGGGACCCCAGGCCAGCTGAGTGACGGTCCGGAATAAGTGTAGTGCTAAGGCTAAGCCCCCAGTTCACCACCGACCCATTCACATTTCTAATCAATTTTCCTCGCTCAGTAACACACCCGCTGTTAGGATAATTTATTGTTATCCTTGTAATAGCTCTTTAAATAAACGTGCCACACAGGAGAGGTAGATATTTTCTTAATCCCATGTTTTAATCTTGCAAGATGGAGCAGTGTTGAAATACAAGCATTAAAATGTTACATGACGCTCCGTCCCAAGTCTCTAGCGTCTCAAGACTCTAGCGGCCATCGTTAAGTGCATTCCATGGGCCAGAGCAGGTGACATAGTGTTACGACCCCAGTCGTAAGTTGAATGTGTGTGAGTGTGCAAAGCCCTAATTGTGCCAATTAAAGTCCAGGTGTGCGGCTGGAGGAAGATACTGCTGAACAGAGCTGTGATTGGATGCCTGCCTGGAGGTACTGCACAATAAGAGGAGTTGAGTTGGAGATGACAGCGGCCTTTCCATCCACTCTGCATGTCCCAACCAGCCACAGCTGACCTGCTGTCCATCGCGTTGATAAATTAGTTTAATTTTTTGTAAGGAGTTCTTGTAGGGGTGAGCTGCCATTTTAGTTAAGTTTCTTTTTTCTCCTGTTTTTGTTAGCTTAGATCAGGTAAGAGACCTGTCTTTTTGTTATTTGTACTTTTGAGTTGTTAGGCAAGTGTTAAAAATAGGAAGAAAAATAGTTTGTTTTGTTTATTATTTTGACCTGAGGCTCACACTGAAGTCTGGTAAGACTCGTGTAAATATTCAATCATTCACCTTACCATACCATATCATTTTATTTATAGAGCACTTAAAACATCGACAAGGCCAACCAAAGTGCTGTACAGACAGAACAACAGGCAACACACAAAGCAATATACAAAATGAGGTAAATCGGAATAAAGACATAAAAACGATGCAGATAATAAATATGACAACTAACCAGTGTGGAGCATACAGGATCAAAACACAGATCATCTGGTGTTGAAAGCTACTGAATAGTAGTGGGTTTTAAAACAGGACTAGAAACTTTTGTTATTTTGTTCTTCGTTGTGGAATTATTCATTTGAAACATCATGCTTTTGGGCTGTTTTTGTTCAAAGGGGACAGGACGACTAATCCGTGTTGAGGGAAGAATGAACGGGGCCATGTATTGTGAGATTTTAAGCCAAAACCTCCTTCCATCAGTGAATGCATTGACGATGGAACGTGGCTGGGTCTTCCAGCATGACAATGATCCCAAACACGCTGCTCAGGCAATGAAGGAGTGGCTCTGTAAAAAGCATTTCAAGGTCCTGGAGTGGCCTAGCCAGTCTCCAGACCTCAACCCCATAGAAAATTTGTGGAGGGAGTTGAAAGTCTGTGTTGCCCAGTGACAGCCTCCAAACATCACTTCTTTAGAGGAGATCTGCATGGAGGAATGGGCCAAAATACCAGCTAAAGTGTGTTCAAACCTGGTGAAGACTTACAGGAAACATTTGACCTCTGTTATTGCCCAAAGTATTGAGTTGATTTTTTGTTATTGACCAAATACTTATTTACCACCATAATTTACAAATAAATTCTTTAAAAATCCTACAACGTGATTTCCTGGACTTTTTTTCCTTTTTTGTCTCTCATAGCTGAAGTGTACCTATGATGAAAATTAAAGCCCTCTCTCATTTTTCTAAGTAGGAGAAATTGCACAATCAGTGACTGACTAAAGACTTTTTTTGCCCCACTGTAAATGTAGCCAAACTGACTCTGATTCCTGTTTTTATTTTTTTTAACTCACGGTCAAGGTGTCTTTATTGTCATTCACATGTACCACATGTGGTGGAACAAAACTATGTACACAGGGTCCTAGGTACATCCAACAACAATACAAATTGAAAGAAAAACAGTAATAAGATCCAAGACAGGAACCAAGAGCTATGCTAAACTAAGAGTTTACTAAGCACTAATAGTACAAAACAAAGTGCCAAACAACAGCAGAACAAACATGAGTCTATGTAAACAGATGAGTATGAATGAACACAGCAACATGAAATAAATCAGCATTATAGTGATTTTTTCAGTGATTTTTTTTTTCACAGTAATTTTCACAGTGAGAATCCTGACTAGGGATTCATGAGTCTAACAACCTCAGGGTAGAAGCTGTTGCTCAGTTTAGTGGTTCTGAACTTAATGCTCCTCAACCTTCTGCCTGAGGGGAGTGGGGCAAAAAGTGTGTGTGCTGGGTGAGTGGGGTCCTTCATGATGCAGGTGGCCCTCTTCCTGCATCTGGAGGTGTAGATGTCTGTGATGGTGGGGAGACTGACTCCAACATCTTCTGTGCAGCCTTCACCACTCTCTGCAAAGCTTTTCTTTCTGCAGCTGTGCAGCCTCCATGCCACACGTTGATGCTGGAGCACAGGATGCTCTCCACTGCACACCTGTAGAAGGAGGTGAGGACTGAGCTTCCCAGACCAGCTCGCCTCAGCCGTCTGAGGAAGTAGAGTCTCTGATGAGCTTTCTTGATCAGGCTGGTGGTGTTGTTGCTCCAGCTGACACTGTCATTCATGTGCACACCTGAGTACTTGTAGCTGGAGACCACTTCCACCGCAGATCCTCCTATGTTGTGTGTGTGTGGGGGGGGGGGGGGGGTGTAGGTGTGTGTTTGTTCTCATTTGCCTCATCTCATCTGCCTGTACATGTCTGCCTGGTAAATATAGTTACTTTTCTTTATGACATCACTCTGAGTAGAAACAATTTGTCACAGCTAAACATTAGGACGATAAAACCATCTTCTGTCCCCCTGAGCCCCCTGTCCAGTCTGGTTCCTATGTTCAGTTTCTGAAGGCTGGTGACCTCACCTACAACTACAACCCAATTCAACATGGCTAGCACAGAAAAATTTAATTTGTCAACTTTTTAGTTTTTTGGAAATGTTCAAAATTAATTAATTAATTGGGGAGTGGTGGAGCAGAGGTTAGAGAAGATGGGCCTGTGGTCGGGAAGTCACAGGTTCAACTCCCGGTAACATCAACATCAAAATCTGGGTGGAAAAGGTAAAACACCCACACCTGCCTCCACCCTCATTTGCCCCACTCTGGGCCCGAGCAAGGTCCTTAACCCCCACCATTTGCTCTCAAAACCAGGTCTCTCTTGAAAATGAGTTCTTGTGACTCAATGAGACTACATGTATAAATAACGGGTAAATGAAAAAATGTTTTTTAATGTATTCACTTGTACAGATATTAAGATGAATTTCGAAGTAGTAGTAGCTTTCATTCAACTTTTATTTAGACAAGTTAATCCCACTGAGCCTCGAGGACTCATTTACAAGAGAGACCCGATTTCAACAAAGAATGATGACAACAATGGACAGTTATAAAAAGGCATACAGATTTTTTTTTTTACAATTTAAAATAAGATGGCAAAAAAAGTAATAAAAACAGCTAGATTCTAAGGCAAATGTAAAAAACTAAAAACAGGAACATGTCTGCATTGGTCCCTGCCAGGAGTCCAACAGATTCTTAAAGACACTTAGAGAGGTCAAAGGTCGAGAGCTTCAGATCTTTTTGCAAGATATTCCAGGAAACGGGAGCGGAGTAGGAGAAGGTCCTTTTGTCTAGTTCAGTCCTCACTGAGGGAACACTGCAGGTAATGATGTCCTGAGAGCGCACTCTGTAGCTGCACTCACGCAGAGACATGTAGGAGGAGATGTATGAAGGCAACAGACCAAGAAGTGATTTAAAGATGAAAATGTACCAGTGAGAGAGTCTGCGTGAAGTTAATGATGTCCAGTTAACCAGTGAATACTGGGTGCAGTGATGGGTATGATAATCACAGCCAGTTATGAATCTTAGTGCACCATGATAGACAGCATCCAACATCTGCAGGGTTCTTGTAGGAGCGTTCATGTAAATAATGTCACTGTAATCAAGCTGAGAGTCATTAACAAAATGTATTGTGTGACAGCTCGTAATATTTCACAACGTTCAGTAAATATGTTAGTTTGAGATTTGATAGAACTGATCTTGATTTAAAACTCTCACATGAAGGGCGGTGGGTGATATGCATTTCTTTAAGGAGGTCTAGGTCCTTAACTAATCCTCCTGCAGCATCTGTGAAACCAGCTGCTTTAGAAGGTGTTTGGTGTTTTGAGGTGAAAATAGTTGAGTTTAGAAACTCACTGCCATCTCCCTCTCCTCCTCCAAGCTCGGGGGTTGTTCCTGCTGGACTCTGCATGCCTGATGGTAGGCTGTTCTTCACGTCCACTACTGTAACAGACAGAGTGATTGATTAGCCTGAAAAGTGTTGTCAGGGGCACAGCATATTATTGCATCACTGTTGGCGAACACACATACGTACATACACTGTATAAAGTCAGCTTCCATTTTATTTAGAGGAGCTGTGAATGTTGCTCAAAGTCAGGAACACGGTGTCCTGGTCCCTAAAAACAGCTGCTAGCCTAGCTGTGGATAGCACGAACATTTACTGTTCCCTTGACATTAGTCTAAATTCAGCATGGCTTGGCGGAAGGACACAGGGGAAAATGTTTACAAGTGCTGCAAATAGAAACAAACCATAAGGAGGGGGTGGGGTGGGGTTGGCGTGTGGTGGCATTACTTTACGGTTTAGTGGAACAAAAACAAAATCATTGTCCAGATATATATATATTTCTGAAAATCATGTTCGGTTACTATGGATAGTTTTCAGTCACGCGACACACTAGCTACCCTGACAGGCAAAACATGGCAGTGCACAGTGATGATCTGGAGTGATCAATAATGCTGTCATGTGGAGATGAAAAACCAGAAAATGTTGACAGCAACAGGATTACATCGTCTTTGTAGAAAACATTTGATCAACAGTAAGCTTACAATTACTCTGTTTTTTATTAAGTTGTTTAGTTCTGTGATTTTGTTGCAACAGTTGTATGTAAAGAAGATTAATGGATGAGCTCTAATAACATAATGAGAGAAAATGAGCTCAGGAGATGACAGATGATAAATCATCGACATAACTTCACAAACAAGAAATTAACAAAATATAAAACAAACAAATACATTAAAACATGGCAACATACGAAGACTTAGATTTTAAAATATACAATGTTGAAGATGCGATTGATACAAATTTTTTCCCTGCAATAAAAGACTGTGAATATTACAATGAAGAACAGTTTAATGACATCAATATAACTAATGGAGGTCTCTCTATTATTCACTTTAATAGTAGAAGTTTAAATGCAAATATATCCAAAATAACAGATTATTTAAAACAGCTAAACAGAACCTTTACAATAATAGCACTGTCAGAGACATGGCTCAACGATGAAAACACAACTAATGTTCACATGGAAGGGTATGAATTATATCATGTGAACAGAAGCAACAAAAGAGGTGGTGGAGTGGCTCTATTTGTTAAAAATGAAATAAAATGTAAGTTAATTAATGAAATGTCAATAATTGTTGATAATATCATGGAAATAATAACAATAGAAATAATAAACAAGAATGATAAAAACATATTGATAAGTTGTGTATATCGATCTCCAGGATCAAATATAGAAATATTCACTGATAAAATCGTACAACTATTGGACAAGAGTTTTAATAAAAGCATTTTTTTCTGTGGAGATTTTAATATTGACCTGGGAAATAAAACAGATTCAAATAACATCAGTACATTTACAAATTCATTGTATAGTTTAAATCTTTATCCGTTAATATCAAAACCAACAAGAATTACAACTCATAGTGCTACAATAATCGATAATATTTTCACAAATGTAACAAATGGGGATGTGATGGGAGGTATTTTAACGAGTGATTTAAGTGATCACTTACCAGTTTTCACGATTTATAAAAATGATCAAAGCATTACAAAAGAAATTACAATTAAGGAAAAAACAATAAACACATCAAAAGAAAGCAATGGACAAATTAAAAGATGATTTACATAAACAAAGCTGGAAAGACGTGTATGTTGATGATGTAAACAGATCATATGATGAGTTTATGAATATTTTAGGAGTTCTGTATGAAAAGAATTGTGTGCAAAATAATTATACAAAGAGAAATGTTGTTGACCAACCATGGATGACGAAAGGGTTGAGAAATGCTTGTAAAAAAAATAATTGTTTGTATACATGTTTCTTGAAATTGAGAACACAAGAGGCTGAAAAGAAATATAAGAAGTATAAAAATAAATTAGTAGGGATTATAAGGAAACACAAGAAGGAATATTATAGTGATTTATTAAATAAAAGTAATGGTGATATGAAAGCTACATGGCGAGTAATAAATAGTGTTCTGAAAAGTCAAAGCAAAAACAGGTATTTCACAATATTTTTTGAAGGATGACGATGAAATCCATGATGAAAATGAAATTGTAAATGGATTTAATCATCATTTTGTGAACGTTGGATCAAGCCTTGCAGCTAAAATACCAAAAGTAGACAATAATGTGAACCATTCAGTTATAAGTTGTGACAACAGTATTTTTCTTAATGGAACTGACAAAGAAGAAATAATGAATGTTGTAAAGAATCTTACAGATAAGAGATCAAAAGACTGGGTGGACATGGATATGATGTTTGTAAAGGACATAATGAGTTATGTTATCGAGCCGTTTACATATATTTGTAATTTATCATTTTCAAAAGGAATATTTCCAGACAATATGAAAGTAGCAAAGGTAGTTCCTCTCTTTAAAAATGGTGATAAATGTGTGTTCAATAATTATAGACCAATATCCTTATTACCACAGTTCTCAAAAATTCTAGAAAAACTATTTGTGACCAGATTAGATAAATTTATTACTAAACAAAACATTCTAAGTAGCAGTCAGTATGGGTTTAGAGCAAAAAACTCTACATCAATGGCTCTCATGGAAAAAATGGAACAAATAACTACTGCTGTCGATCAAAAACAGTATTGTGTTAGTATTTTTGTTGATTTAAAAAAAGCATTCGATACTATTGACCACACTATTCTCCTTGAAAAATTAAATAAATATGGTATAAGAGGACCAGCATTACACTGGGTATCTAGCTATTTAAAAGATAGGAACCAGTTTGTACAAATAAATGGTGTAAGATCTGACCTGTACAATATCACGTGTGGAGTTCCTCAAGGCTCTGTACTTGGACAAAAGTTATTTATTTTATATGTGAACGACTTAGTGAATGTATCAGGACTCCTCAAATGTGTCCTTTTTGCAGATGACACCACATTTTTTTGTTTGGGTAAAGATGTAAAACGGATGTTGGAATTGATGAAGACAGAATTTGATAAAATACAAACTTGGTTTAAACTTAATAAATTATCATTAAATTTAGATAAAACTAAATACATGATATTTAGTAACAAAAAGAGAACTGTTGATGATCCATTTAAAATTGAGGGTGTTGAGATTTGTAGAGTTAATGAGATGAAATTTTTGGGTGTAATCATTGATGAACAGCTAACATGGAAAAATCACATCAATTCTGTAAGAACAAAAATATCTAAATCTATTGCAGTACTATACAAAGTCAGGGAATTATTAAATGATAAAGCTCTGTACATGTTGTATAACACAATCATTGTTCCACATTTAATCTATTGCATTGATGTTTGGGGGAAAGCGTGTAAAACATTTACAAAACCTATTTTTATTTTACAGAAAAGAGCTGTAAGAATTATCACCAGAAAGCATTACAGTCACCCATCAAGCACATTATTTTATCAACTGAAGTTATTAAAGTTCCATGATTTGGTAGATTATAGTATTTTATCAGTTATGTATAGAGCTCAAAATAACACATTACCATTAAATATCCAAAGAAATGTTGTTAAAAGACAAAGTTGTTACAATCTTAAGGGGATAGAGATATTTGTCAAACCAAAATTCAGAACTAGTCTGAAGGGAAGGTCTACCTCAATCCAAGGAGTTGGATTGTGGAATGGTCTAGAGAGTGATGTGAAAAATGCCAAGTCAATGTGCACATTTAAGAAAAAGATCAAAGCTGAATTGTTAAAAAAGTATATATGAAGTAGATTAGTGTGTGTTTTGTATTAGAATTAGAAAAATTAGAAAGTTATTCATTTTGTTCTGTTACTTGAAAATTATTATGATTGAAATAATTGTTTGAAAAAAGGGGCAGATATAATAAGATTTTTTCTTCTTTCTGCTGCCTTTCATTTTAAATCTTTTGTATCTTTTTTTTATATTGTTATGGAATTGTTTTGTACTTTTTTTAAATGAATAAACTATATACCAGATAGTGTTGATAACATGCTAATGCTAAGACAAGCTAAATGTTGTTAACATGAACTCACAAAGTATTTTATCGTAATTTCCAGACTATAAATCCCTGCTTCTTCATAGTTTTGGCCAGTCCTGCGACGTATAGACCGAAGCGACATATATTCTTTCCCCTATTAATGATGCAATTTTTGACTGACGTTAAATGTTCATTCATACTGACTTGAACCAGAGTAAACATTACTAACAATATGAAAGGTGTGAGATAGAGGAAGAAGGGTGACAGTTTCTCCACTCCCCTTCACTACATTTATTTTATGTATTTAACTCTCTTTAAAGTGGGACAGCAGCTGATCAGTTTACTGACCAACAACAACTTCATTAATATTTTCACCCTTTAATGATCAGAATCAGTCACTGAAGTAGAATCTGTTCATTACAAGGAGTTCTTTACCAGAACACATGAATATTCATCTGAATGAAGAGACCACAGTTGTCTTAGAAGTTTTATTACAAAATTAATCAAACTAAAAATCAACAACAATAATAAACAAACCATAATAATGAATCAATCAAGGCTTAATTCTCTTATCTAAGACTAAATTGACTCTTTGAGCAGGAATTATTTCAGTTTTATACGCGCATGAATTTAGACAAAGTTTGACTATTTTAATAAATAGTTTACTTTGGATTTTGGTTGAAAGAAGTTGTTTAATGTGATCAGATAAAGTCATTTATCGTCACTGCAAGCCAGGAAATAATTTACCAAGTTGCATCAGCTTCAAATAGCAGAACCAGACCAAGAGTTGCATCATGTCACCAGGTTCTGCTCCTTACCGGGTCAGTGTTGATGGCACCACTCGTCTTTCTGGGGTTCTCTGGTGGATCAGACCAGAGACACCATGAGGAGGACTCACCGGGTACTGCCCAAGGTAGCTGACTATCACTGACAGCTTCAGGGGTCTGTGAGGGCAATAGCTGATGAGAAGGTGCACCGTCCCTCGCAACCTTCAGCTGAGAGCATGAG